ACAACGAATGGTTTGGTAAGAACTCTAATGAATGTAGACCATATTCCAAGTGTTAGAAGAAATGTAATCTCTGTGGGAGCATTGGATTCCAAAGGTTGCTGGTGTGAAGTGAAGAATGAATTGTCATGCTTTTGGGAAGGAAGGTCAATAATCTCTATATTTTGTTGGGAAATACTATGCTAGGTGAAACAAATGCAAAGATGGAATGAAAGCATGTTTCAAGATCTACTAGAATGAAGAATCAAGGACAGAAAGAGAAGGAAGAAGTCTTAACAATTTAAGAGTACCGACCTTTATTCCAAAAGCAAAAAGAATTCAATTTAGTGATGCGAAAGTGGATTCCAAGTGTAATTTTTTGAACTTGGAATTTGCTAAGAATAGATGACTATGGTGGTGCGGCGAAGAACAACAAGAAGAAGAATGATGAATTTGAGAAAAAGGTGGAGATTGTTAGAGTATTTCTCAAATTCATCATAGAACCTTATTTGAGGTGGAGAAATCTTTAGTTAAGGTGGAGCTATGGTGGAACATGTACATTGAAGACATATTTTGATCACGTGTTGATTACGTGAAGAATGGAGGTGTTCAAAGTTTCTGATTTGGCTATATTTGGCTATTGCAAAAGTTGAACCAATTCAAGTGGGGTGAAGTGGTTCAACCCGGGAGTGTAGTTTTTTTGGCTTTGGCTACTGCCAAAGTTTAACTGGTTTAAATGGGGCTGAACCGATTCAACTTTTTTTTTTCCTAGTTGGTACTCACACACACGTCTCTTATGAGACTTAAACCTCTGACCCCCCCTTTGGAAAGTAAGAGGCCGATACCGCTAGGCCACTTGGTCTACTGGTTCAACTTAGACAATGAGTTATTGGATGTTACAAGAAATAGCTTCCTAATTGGTTTTGAAAGCCAGAAGTTGTATCTTTATTTTAGAGTTAAATACTAATATGGTAACTCCTTGTAGACAAGTTGATCCTTGTCCAACAAGGAATTGAGTTTGAAGACTTTATAAATAGAGATGGGTATGAGAGAGAAAAAAAAATTGTAGAGAGAAAAAGAGAGTTGAGATTGTGAGAGACAAAATAGTGTGTAATCAAGTTTTTGAAGTAAAGTTAGTCGTTTTTCGCCCATGGACTAAGCAATTTCCTTACTTCCTCCCCTTATTCCCTTCCCTCCAACAAACATGAAAACATTCATCCATCCCTCCTCCTATCCCTCTTCAATCCATCCCTCCTCCTATCCCTCTTCAATCCATCCCTCCAACCAAACTTAGCATACGAGTAAGGTAAATTAAAGCAGTTAGGAAGCCCGTGTCTTAGGGGAACTGGACGTTGCCCAAATATAAATAAAGCACATAAACAGCGGGGGAAGACATATGGGGTTTGCTTTCAAACTAGATACCATATATCTCTTTTATTAATAATTTTTTGACTCTTCTCTTTCTTGTTCACATGGCACTTTCCAGGGTATTAATAGGATTAATCACATGAATTTATCACATGAGGAAGAAAAGACCAAACCTAACATTAATTGCATCATTCATCCTAAATGTTATAGTAAAAGCAAGGAGGTGAGTAAGGATTGAATTTGTGACCGAGAAGAAGTAGATTAAATGCCACATCTTGCTGGAAGACTAACCCATGTGGATCTCAATATATATATATATATATATATAATTTTCAAATTTGAGAGAAAGGGGTAAGATGTTTTCATTTCTTATAGCATGATTTCTATTCTCTTCCTTGTTATACAGAAGTGCGGTGGAAATAGGAAGCGAGAAAGAAGAGGAAGCTAGAAAGAAGTGATGACTATCAATGTGATTAGTATAGTTCAAGCAATAAGGGTAGTTTTGAAATTCTAAAAAAAAAAAAAAATGCTCTCTTAACGTTAACATTACTTAGTAGACCGTTTGTTAACTAACCGAGAAGTCTAAAACTATGACCAATCTCTAACCTTTTTTGAAAAAGGTACCAATCTCAAAACCCATACAAAATGATGGGATTTAAGTATTTTTTTTTTCTTTTAATTAATTAGGGCTAGTTTGGTGTGCAAGAATGAAATGGAATGGAATGGGAATGAAACTAGGAATGGAATGAAAATAGAATGGGAATGGGAATGATGATTCCCATTCTCTTATTTGGTTGTAAATATGGAATATGTAAAAATAAAATAATGATTTTCATTTACTTGTTTGGTTGGATTAAAAATTAAAATGGAATGAATTTATATTGTTTTATCCAAATTACCTTTATCATTAATAAAAAAAATTAACTAAAAGATTAACATCCGAAAGAAAAATTTTCAATCCAATGGTAAGAAAGATGTCTGGAATACATGGGAGAACAGGCCAGGAAGAGGAAAGTCCTCCGTAATACTATTGGGTTTAAGGTTCTATAGACTGTAGTTTGGATACCTGGGAAGAGCGTTCGAGAGAGAAAACTGGTGGGGCAGAGAGAGAAAAAGAGATTGGGTGAAGCCATTAAATTAAAAAAGATACCGTAGAATGGTAAAAAAATGGAAGCGCTGTCTGTGGGAATCGAACCCCTTTTGAATCATCAGCAAGATGGCGATGAACTGATGGTTAGCACAGAGGATGGACTGGTAAGATTGATGGCGAGCAAAAAGGATGGTAGCGTTGACAGTTGTATTGCCTGTGGTGAAGCTTTTGAGTATGCTTGGAAAACGCTGACAATGGACAAGGACAGCGGCCAAAGAGGTCCACAACGACGACCAAATTTATGTTCGACAATGGGTTGGGTTGGGTTGGGTTGTGTGTTCTTGTATGTTTTACTGTTGATACAGGAGATGATGATGGCAGTGGGGGAAGAAGGCTAGATTGTTGTGGTGGGTTTGTAATTTGTTAGGTTTTATTTTTTAATATTTTTTTCAGTTTGTATTTTTTTCAAGTAGGAATGGAATGGTCATTTCTTTTGTCAGAAGGTGGAATGATTTTGATGGAATCACCATTCTCTAAGTATGGTAGGGAATAATGATTCCAAGTTTAAAATTAGGCACCAAACACAATAATGGAAAAAAAAAATCATTCCTTTCCACTTTCTTTATATTTCATTCCACGGCACCAAACTAGCCCTTAGTGTTAAGAATCTTAATTTTTTTTAGTACCAACAAATCTAAATTTTTTTTTTGGAAGTTAAAGCAACTGTCATATATGTGATGGGGACTCAAACCTGGGCCTTTGGCCACAAGCATCAACATCTTACCATTGGGCTATCACACCACACCTAATAACATTGTTGATTTGTTAACTGATTTATAATACTTATCTATTAACAACACTGATTTTTTTAGTACCAACAAATTAGTGATTTAGTAATAGCAATGTTAATTTGTTAACCGATTTTTAATACTTATTAATTTGTTAATAACATTGTTAATCAAACCTTGTTCAACATAGTTAATTAATTCTAATTTGCTAAAATCAATATTTAATCTTGTTTAGTTTCTATATGTTGCATTACAGTTCTTTTGAGGGCAATTTCGTAACTTAAAAATCAACACACAAGTCAAAAGGCATTAAGGTTAATTTATGTGTCCGATGACTAACATGACGACACGGGTGTCATTATTAACTCCGACAAACTTAAGAGATATCATTGTTAAAAAAATGAGTAACTTGTATATAGCCATCAATAGGGCAAATCGCAGGAGGTGTCAGTGTACTTTACCTTATTTTTTATGTAGGCAAATGTAATCTCCATGCTAGATATTGTGCACTATTTTTTTACTTACAAAATAAATTCACTCATGTCATATTTAGGAGTATTGAATTAATGATTGATATCTTAAATTTAAAATTAAAAAAAATTTTAATTTAAATTTTATCCTCAATTTTCTTCAATATTAAATTTTATAACACGTTAATACTCCATGCTATGGTGGGCAGGTGGGTGGACACAAATGAATGGTACGAGCTTACATTATTAAAGTTAAGAACACTACTATAAAGTCCACCTAACCGACTCGAGACGGTTCCATGTGGGCTCATCAATAGCTAGTGGAATTGGGCTGTGTCTTACGTTGGCCAAACCACCAGGCTTTAAATCATTTTTCCCAAGTGTAGAGTCAACAACTGTCACCATTTAAATGTTTTCAAAAATATATTACTATTAATTTTTGCCTTTTTGTTTATTGAATCCTCATCTCTGACCATTGAAGAGTCAAGGGCAATGACCATTGAAGAGTTTATGACAGAGAGGTTTCAGTTTCCTTATTTGACCATGAATTAAGAATTTTCAATTATAAGACATTAATTCTATAAAAATAATATAACAATATTTTTTATTTTATTTTGCCCATATAATAATGAAGAGTGAAGTCACTAATTTTGAGGCTAGAGCAAAACATTTGTTATATATATTTTTTCTTAAATTTCATTTTATTTTTATTAATTAACTCATAATATATTTTAAATTATAAAATTTTAATACAAAAATATTAGGGGTTAGTGGTTAGAGGGGAGTGCGAGAGTAAAGCTCAAACACATACTCTCGTATACGAGAAGCAACTCGATTACTAAGGTAACACACAATTGCATTTTAAATTACTATAAATCCCATTCTTCTAAATATAAAACCAAACAATCAAAGTGTTCAAAATGTGTTTGGTGTCCAACCAAAACATAAAATTTGATTTCTTCTCTAGGGTTTGGATAGTGCAAGGCTTTAAATTTGGAGAAGTTATTATATAGCCAGGCCAATCATGAAATAACACACAAGTAAAAATCTATTACTTATGTATCGCTTCATGATTGGTCCGGGATCAATTGAGGACACTTTAGTAGCTTTTGAATTTTCGGTCTTTGCATTTTTCAACAATTCAATAACTTTAAATCATTAATATAACAAAATGTTAAATTATCAATACAATAATTTTTTAAATCCTCAATCTAAGAATTGCATAAATATGTTTAATTCTTAATTTAATAATATTTCCAACATAATTTAATATGTTGTATGATTGGTGCATCGTAGACGTGTGAACACTAAATTTAATATTTCCATTGAGCATAAACACTAAAAAGTACTGTATCTGTGGGGAGAGAGCGAGAGAGAGACACACAGTGGGACGGAGGCACATAATATTCCAGGAGTTGTAAACTGCATCCACAGCTCTCACATATAGCCGGTGATTGGATTCCGACCCGTAGCTTTCTATTCCGACCTACTTTCTCCGGCATATAAACATTTTCATATCGTATGCACACATATATTTTACTCCATAGATTTCTTCATCAAATATATATTCGATCTGGTTGAAAGATCGACTTGTATGTTATATTTACTTACTTGATGTTTGTTTCTTTAAATTATGAAATTGATCGAAAGCAGTGGTTAATAGTTACGTATTAGTTCAGATTTTGATGATTTTATTACTCGTTGATTTGAGTTGGTAGCTTGGGCTTGTATAATCAGTTCATAGTTTGTTTCTTTTTCTTTAATGTTAAAAATCTGTTCTTCTGCTTCCAATTTGTTTTGTTCTGTGGTGTGTTGCAATTAGATTTATGCGTAATTTTTTTTTCTGATATGGGATACACAGTGCACTGAGAAAAAAAGGAAAAAATGTGGGGGATTATGAGGCAAAAAGTTGTTACTGGAGGCTCTTCTGTTGGGGTAGGCCTTGAAAAATTCATTTTAATGTTGAAGAAAATTTTCGCTACGCTTTTTATGATTCAATTATATATAATGATCTCAAGTAGAATAGTTTTCGTTGTCCATTTCAGATTTTAGAGCAATCATTGCACAGGATAAGGCCTGCTGTATCGGCTTTGAGAAGTTACTCATCTGCTGCCAAGGAGGTAATTATGGCTTATGTTAATTGTGTTATCTTTCGATCATTCACATTGCTTGATATACTCCTTTTTAACTTGGATTAGTTGTTAATAAATTGTGGGAAAATAGTTCAAACTCTGAGCCTTATTGTTTTATTCATTATGGGGGCATGCAGTGCAGACTTTTTGTGACTCTCCGAACCCTGCTATATAAAACATCCCAAAGTCCAGGGGTGATTAAATTCCAAATCCACTTCATGCAATACTGTTTGTCTGGTCAAGACCTAACTCAAATAGAGTTACCATTGATTTACAGAATTCTCTAGATTATGAATCAACATTATCACTTGTACAGGAGAGCCCTATGGGCATAGAATTTCTCTTCCTGTTCAAAATCTAAATAAGATAGGTGCTATATTATTATTATTTAGTTTCCTATTTCTTGAACCATTTGCTTCCAACTTTCCTTCTAAATGTTCCTTCTCACTCTTTCCCCTCTCCCTCCCTCTGTCTTTCATGCACTATTCGGTTTCAGCTTTATTACTTGTTTTTAACAATGTGTACATATACACACATATAAAGTACTAGATAGCATTCCCTTTTCCTTTTTCGGTCATATCTATTAAGAAGACTAATTCTACTTGCAATAGTATTCTGTAGCTATTTCTTTTAACAACTTCTCATATTAAATCCAACCAAATAAAAGCAAATATTAGTATATTATTAATATTATGATTATGTTTTTGAGATCCTAGTCCCTTGGTTCCACCTTAATAAACCCATTATGGGATGTCCTCTGTTACATCGACTCTTCAAAAGTATTGAAGTACCCGTGTCGGACGCGTATCCCTCGGACATGGGTATAGGATATGTGTCCGATACTTTTGGTTAGACATGTACTTAAAAAGTATACCCAATCATTCAATTACATTAATATTATTACTTTAAAATGAGTTAACTACCTATATTGAATATTGTATTTGATAAAAACATTACTTTACTCTAGAAAATAAAATAAAATAATTAATAAAATGAATATTTAGCTGTGTCCGTGTGTCCTTTTGTTTGGAGATTTGACACGTCCGATGCATGGATACATACTCGTGTCCGACACCTGTACCCGAGTCCATGTAACATAGGGGATATCTGTAATGATGCAGAATATCACTCCAGGCCAAAAACCCCTCACCTTAACATATACACATAACACATGTGAACAGGATTATTGATAAAAACCTCTCTGACCTTGACCTATGCACATGATAACATGATTATTGATAGCTATCAACTAACAGCTAGACACACCCAAACATTAATGATTCATACCCATGTCTAAATAAAACTTCATTTTACATCCCTCACTACAATTATAATGCCCAAAATAACCATGTTCCATATTAGGATTTAAGAATAATCCAATGTTTAATATACTTCTATCAGGAACAGTAATAATCATTCCTAACAATTAGTATACTTCTATCAGGAACAGTAATTAGCATCTATTACCTTCATAATATAGCAATTAATTTTTGCCCAGTGAACCATGCAATAGCCCCAACTTATTACAGTTACTTGTTCCAATCATTGTTCATGGTAAAGACTAATATCTTCCCTTAGTATATTATAACAACAGGAGCTGCTAACTATTTGATTGCATGTGAGGATTTATACGGATATATCCTCAGTCACTGGGAAAAGCCTTGGATGGATATTATGGTTTTTACCACATTTTTCTTAAAGTATGAATTGCATTAAACCCCCCCTGAACTTGTCACTATGCGTAAAAATACTCCCATGAACTATCAGTTCAACCAAAAAGCACCCCTCTACTATTAAAAAGTGGCAAACGGCACTTCTAAGCCTAATGGCTTTAAGGGTGTTTTTTGGTTGATTGATTTAATCTAAAATACTAATTATAATACATGGACTGGTATTTATCAAAAATGAATAATACACGGAAGGGTCATTACAGTCTATTCTTTTTTGGGATATCTTCATAGAAATTTAGAGTCATAATATCCACTCTACTTATGTGCACTCGAATTTTTTATACTTATATACTAAACTTTCCCAAGTCATTGAGATTGTATATATATGAGTAGTGATCTCTTGCTCCCCACGGAGCAAGAAAATTCTTCCGCACTTTCTATAGTAACCATTAGATTAAATCTAATAGTCAAATTCCAAACCTACCTATATACTTTCCTTTTAATATAAAACCACTATCATTATTTCTAGTTTCTAAATTTAAAATTTACCAATACCACTAATTACAACTATAAAAGGTAAGTACCAAACAAATAAAAATATAAATCGCTTCACCTCTGGAACGTCTCACCGCCACTAATCGGAATTTTTATTTTCTTTGATATCTTTGAGCAGTCTTTCATACTTTTTTTGCTTATAAAAAAAAATGATGATAGTGAAAAAAAAAAAGATGATAATAATAGCAGCATCAATAAATTTTTGTTATTATAGTAGAACTAAAAAAAAGATTTTGTACGACTTATTATGACATATGAGTAATTGGAATGTGTTTACAACTAGTTAAAATCTGGAATAAAATAAAACAAAATTAACAAGAAAGATGAAACAATTTGTGACAAAGGGATTAGAGAACAATAGATTGAATTTCTAATTTTTAAATAGCATGCATTGAGGGAGGTATACAAAAATTTAAATTGTGAAGTGTTGTGCAAATCACAAGTTACCTTAAGTTAATCAAGTGGATAAAAAAATACAGATTTTATTTTTAATTTTTTAATTATTTTTTAGTTGATGTTTTGTATGTCAATAGTGTAATTTTTAATTTCTTTTTCACACTCAAACAAATACGTAATGCCAACTTTAGTATCAAGTCATTGATGCAATTCTCTAACACTTATAAATTTTTTTTAAAGAAAATAAAATTCTGATTAGTGATGAGATGTGATATTGAGAGGTGAAGAGATGTCTATTTTTATTTTTTTAGTACTTACCTTTTATTGTTATAATTAATGGTATTGGTAAATATTAAATTTGGAAACTTGAAATAGTGATAATGGTTTTGTATTGAAAGGAAAGCATATAGGTGGGTTTAGAATGTGACCATTCGATTTAATCTAATGGTCACTATAAAAGGTGCGGAAGAATTTTCTTACTCCACAGGGAGCAAGAGATCACTACTATATATATATATATATATATATTTTGATAAGTCATAGAGATAATATATATTATGCAAGTATAGACATAGTAACAAGTAGGTTTACAGTCAATTGTTCTCATACAACTTCTATGTAATATTGTTATATGTACAAGCTTTCTGTTAGGTTATTAACCATGTTGACCTATTGTTATGTAAGAATTTTCTTAGTGTCACAAGCTTGCTGTTAGGTTATTAACCAAATTGACTACTGGCCTTCAAAACACTGAGAATTATCTATAGGATACCAGTGACAAGTACATTTCAGAAAATAACTTCCTAAGCTTTTAACCAGATTTTTCATTATTGTTCAACACTGTTGGCCCCTAACACACGTGGAGGTAATGTTTCATATATCTAACCCTCCCCAGACTCTGCAATGGAAGGAGCTTTGTGCACTGGGTTTGCCCTTTACTGTTGGCCCCTCAGATTATTTTCTAAAGCTAGCCTTTTCCTGTAGAGTCATAAGTCAGTATATAAGTAGGATATCAAGTCCAGAGTTGAATAATTTTACAGGAATATAGTCATGTCTTTTAACTGATCCAACTTGTCTCATCCCAAGATCAATTGTACACATAGTTATGCTTTGTTGAAGTCAGTCAGTTTAGTTTTTCAAATTAAAACAAGCCATGCATATGAGTAAGAATCACCCATTAATTAAAATCTCTAACGAAATTTTATTCAGATAATGGTCTACAATTAAAATATCATGTCATCCCATGTATTCATTCTCCAACTTTGTTGAAACTAGGCCACCACTACGTTGTAACTAAGTGTATCTTCTTGACATTATGCCGGCTGGCTCTCTGATGTAGAACTGATTGTCGAAGCCTTTATGGCCCGTTTGGACCTCTAGGGGCCAAACGGGAATCTTGACAGATTTTGTGGGCCGATCTCGAAGTGTCCATTTTTGACCCGGCAGAAGAGTTTTTTGACTGGAAACGGCCCAACGAGCAAGACTCACCGCTACGCCATGACGTGACCCATTTTTCATCAAAGTACCATTGTTTAGGGCCTCAAAATGGGGTTTTTCTGTCCTATAGGGAACCTGTCGAATATTTCGGGATTTTCGTTCGTTGTCTAAACGAACTCGGATTGCACTCATATTTTATATTTAGTAGTTTTATTTGATTAGGCTTCTTTCTCTATTTTTTCAGAATTTTTAGAGAAACTTTATTTTTAGGATTATTTTCGAGTATTAACATCCTTTTGGGATTAGGTTTCCTTATGTTATAAGGATTTGTGTTGCAATTAGTTGCCTTATGAATTAGGGTTTTCTTTCATTATAAATATATGTAATGCAGAGATCAGAATCATTCATTCAATTATTGAATACCAAATCAGATTTTCTCTGAACTTATCTCTTGTTTTGTGGATTCAAGACACCCTACTTTGTGGATTCAAAGTAACCCGTTCTTTGTAAACAAATTTATCGCTTCCGCTTACGTCAGTTGGTATCAGTGCCTTGATTTACCCCGGGTTGTTGATGATTGCTCGTTTTGGTAGCACCCACTTTGCCAACGATGATTGCAAAGCGAAGGCCCCTTGGGCAGCCATACATACTCAAGATCGGATTGTAGCAATTGGTTTTGGAATTGGTGGCAACCAAGTTCGTGGTTCAGTTTGAGTTCGTGCTAATGATGTGTCTCGCAGCCAACCGAATATGAGTTATGTTCCTGTTTATACACGTAGGCCTCCAACCTATGTGGATTATTTCGATGATTCTTCCGATGATGAGGAGTTCGTATTTAGTGATCGAGGTAGACACAACAATCGGGAATTTCAGGTAAAACTTGATTTACTTACTTTCAATGGAAGTTTTATTATTGAAGATGTCTTGGAC